GTTGGGGATGGATTTGGGAGCCAGGCACAGGGTTGGGGATGGATTTGGGAGCCAGGCACAGGGTTGGGGATGGGATGTGGCCACTTGGAGTGGAAGATCCTGCCCCCACAGTGTTCCCACACCAGAAGGAGGGATGATACCCCTAGAAAATGGTGTCTGTCCCACACTGGAGCTCCAAGGGGGGAAGCCCACCATTCCCCCCACCACACCAGCATTCCGCAGTCCCGGCCCCGCCCGCGGCTCACCCGTAGTAGGTCCGGATGGAGTCGAGGACATACTGCACCCCGTACTTCTTACGGATGCGCTGCTTGTGGTCCTTGACCACGTTGGCCAGGTACTGGATGTGGCCTGCAGGGAGAAGGTGTGAGGGGCCTGGGGGTGGGTGGGGACGGGGGACACCCCCAGCCCCCGGTCCCACCTAAGCGCACGGCGAAGTCGCTGTTGCTCCAGATGCGGAAGTCGAAGAGGAGGTGCTGGTACAGGAGGTGCAGCAGGAGCCCACTGCCCTCGGAGGCCACCTGCTCCATGAGGATCTGCGAGGCCACCAGCGTGCTCATGTCCAGCAGAGCGCTGGAGACCTGCCACGGGAGGGAGGGAGGGGACACTTGTACTCCTGCCACCCCCTGGGGAACCACGCCGGGGATCACAGGACGGAGTTTTGGGAGCTCCCCCACCTTCTGCAGCAGTGCCCCGATGATGGCCGGCCCGTGGCACTGCACCAGGCTCTCCTGGTTCACGGGGTGGTGCTGGATGAAGTTCTTCACCAGCAGCAGGAAGGCTGCCACGCTGTTCCTCTCCAGTCTGTTCTCTGCAAGGCACAGAGCTGTGAGCCCTGGGCCCACCCAAACACCCTCCTGGAGACCCCACCTCCAACTCTGCTCTCCAATTTCACCCCATTCTCCTGTTTTCCTCACATTTATGGAGGTGGAAACCTCTGTTGCTCTGAGCTTGGGAATGAGCAGCTGGGTGTCAGGAGGAAGCACGTTCCACTCGTGCCAAAGGCTCCTGGACAGACCCAGCCCTGTTCTGAGACATCAAAGACTCCACCCAGAGGCAACCCAGAGGTGGTTGGAGCCACCCTCACCTTCCCAGAACTGCTTGTTCATGACTAATTGGGTCATAACAATGTCAGAGGTGCCTTCTCCATTATCCCCACACCTTGTGGTGCCTCAGGCAAGACCTCTCCTGTCTGTGGTGGACACCAGGAACACCTCCACGGCACCGTGGTTACCTCCAACCACCTGACTCCTGCTCCACACCCTGAACTCCTCACCTGAGGACTTTCCCAGCGGGATGAGCATGCCCTGGGCGTTCCTGGAGGACGTCAGCTCTGGCCCCACCAAGTCATTGGTCTCCTCCTCATCCTCGGGCTCCTCCTTCTTGGACACCACTTGCTCGAGCAGGGGCAGGAGCACTCCCATCCCACCCACGCAGTTGACCACGTCCTGAGGGAGGGAGGGACAGAGGGGAGAGGTCTTGCTGGGCGCTGGAGGAGGAGGTTGCACAGCCACCTGGAGTCCCCAAAAGTCACCTGTTCCCCTACACCACCACGGTGCCCACCCTGGATGGGGCAGACAGGTCCTCAGGGGACCCACGGGTCATGCAGGTCCTTGGTGGACCCAACACCACATGCAGAGTCTCTGCAGGGTCCAACCAACACCCTGTGGGTGTCCTGCCCTGGGCCTGCAGCCCAGGAGGGCCCCACCTGCCTCCATGCCATGGGGTGGACGTGTCACCCTGTGCCCACCATACCTTGACGTCCCAGTTGACCACCTTGTGCCCCGTCAGCCTCCCGTCCAGGCCGTGGCTGGGAGAGAGGTCCAGGCAGATGTTGTTCCTGCAGGCCTAGAGGAGAGCACCATGGGAGCATCCCCGTGCTCCTGGAGATGTCCCTCAGGGCACAGGGGCTCGCAGCACTGTCCCTGTCCCCGGGGGGGTGTCTCTCCTCACCTGGGGGGTGTAGTACAGCAGCAGTTTGCTGCTCAGCTCCACCAGGTCCCCTTCCAGTGTAAATGGTGACATGACATTCGGGCCTGGGAGAGGAGGACTGGGGTGAGCTGGGACACGGTGAAGGAGAGCCTGGTTGCCACCAGCACCTCTGTGGACATCCCCCAGATGTCCATGTCCCACCCTGATGTACCTGCACAGAACAGAGCCTTGACCTGGGCCTGCTGCAGAGCCTCACAGAAGATGGCCACGGAGCCCAGGTGACCCTCCAGGGAGGTGGGGCTGCCCCACTCCATGTCCTGGCTCCCGGCCGCCGTGGTGGCCACCACCCCCTCCGTGGGCAGCTGAGTGGGGGTCCAAGAGTGGGGGCCGAGAGTGGCAGGGACAGAC